TTACTGTTTGAGAGAGAGTTTTGTTGGGGTCTCAAATTAATGTAAAATCTTTTTTTTTTTTTTTTAATTTGAATTGTACATCTAGAAATTTTATAATACATAAATAATAACTCAGTGACATATACGGTAGTTACTCTTTGGGCCTACTTTAAGGAAAGAGATAGATACACAAAGAGAGAGAGAGAAAATAAAAAAATTTGAGCGGACGTGAAAATCTTCTTATCATTTTTTATGGGTATAGATGCAATTTCTCTCTTTTTTATATGTCTATCTCTCTCATCAAAGTGGATCCAAGGAGTAACTACTGTACATGTCACTAATTACTCTTTGTATATTATAAAATTTTACCATGCTTAACTCCTAAAATATATTTAACCCCAAATGAAATAAAAAAGACTGTGAACTTGTCCAAAAAGAATGCGGCATATATATATATATATATATATATATATATATATATATGAACTGATAATTCAGATTTAAATAAGTGAATTGACCCCAAAAAAAAATAATTGAACTAAATGTTTCGGTTAAATTGGTATTGTAACTTTAACATCTCAAGTTAATTTGATTCATTTTCCTTATGTGGCTCGTGGGTATCAACTAAAATTAATAAACCTTTTCTTTAATATATCTTCGTCATCAAATAAATAAAGCTATAAACTATTTCATGGAAAATTGCAATTTATGAATTTTATTATATTGATTATAAAAAGCGAAATCTATAATTGAAAAGTTATCATGTTTTACAAAAATACCATTTCATGCACAGAATTGATTTTTTTATTCAACAATTATAGAACCGTCATTAAAAAGCTCTTCGCTAATTAATTAGCGATGTTAAAGCATTCCATCGTTAATTTAATGACGATCTATCTATTGCTAAAAAATTAAAATTTTATCATGAAATAAGAGAAAAAAATCACTAGAATGGTCAAATTTAGCGTCAGTTTTAAAAATCGACGCTAAACAATCGCAAAAATCAAATGAATTCAAACTGTTGCTAATTTTGACTTTTATTTAATGATGGTTTTGAGAAACTGTGGCTAAATACAGCTTGGATATTGAATGGTAATCACTAGAGTAGGAAGCACACATTAAGGTAAAGGTAAACAAACAAATACCAAACTGCACGTAATGCCCTATATCAGTAGGGGATCACATGAGCCAAATGTTTTTCACATTCATGCTTTACAGAGGAGCGGTGGTGGGGGTTTAATAATTGGAGAAGTAAAAGATAAAAAAAATTGCATTTCTCACCATTGAATTTCCAGCTGTACTGGAAAAAAAAAACAAAAAAGAAAGAAAGAAAGAATTCTTTAAGTAGAGAAAAAGTTGTATTTTCTTTGGAGGTTTATTTGAAGTTGTATTATTATTCTAATGATAGTTATATTTCGTGGAGATAGGTAATTATTAACTGAATCGCGTTAAATGATAATTATAGTTTGTAATTGTTAATTTATTTTGTGGTTTTGCACAAAATTGATTCGATAGATTTTTAATGTTTAATTTTGTTTGTGAAATTATTTTGTTATGTTGTTTACTAATTTTAATGATGGACTTGTATGGCATTGAACTTGTTGTTATGGACTTTCTCCATGAGTTTTTGCAGGGATTTTTTTATTTGAAAAATTATTTTGAAGATTATTTGTACAATGAATTGTTTATGATTTATATATATTATAAGAAAAAAATTGTAAATGTAAAAATTGAAAGGAGGATCGGTCCCTCATGATACAACATCTTAAAAAATTTATTTTTCTAAGTATGCTAAATTAATATAGTGGATGTATTTTTAAAAATGTTTGAAAAAATAATTTAATTTCAGTTGATATATAAACTAATTTAAAGATACTCTTGATCATTATTGAACTAAAATAAGCTACAACATCTTAAAAAATTTATTTTTTTAAATATACTAAATTAATATAGTGGATGTACTTTTAAAATTATTCGAAAAAATAATTTAATTTCAGTTGATATATAAACTAATTTAAAGATACTCTTGGCTATTGAACGAAAATAAATCATTTAACAAGCATAATATCTATCATGATGTCATGACCAACGTAAGTGTTTTCGAAGCATATTTACAAAAGAAAAGAAAGAAGTTAAAAGTTGTCCTTTCGTTCCCCTTTCTTTCTTTTTATATTTTTTTAAAAAACAAAATCCATGTTTCACGTGTTAGAAAATACCTTGAAGACAACCAATAAGCTGATGTTATTAGTGTCTAATGTCTCATTGGTTCAATTTTGTTTTTGTTTACTCTAGCTAATTTTTATTTTATTCTAAAATCCAAAATTTTCTTATTTATTTATTCTAGTATTTTTTTCTATTTAATCTTCATGAGATACTAAGGTAATTTATGATTGGACTTTAAACTTTCACCCAATAAATATAAATTAGTAGAATATCTCATTATTCTCAACAATACACAAATAATCCTAGTAATGTGGAGATCGAGGACTTTGAAAGAATGGAACGAAGAAAATGAAGGTAATTAAAAAAAAAAAGGTAAGTTGTGGAGGATGAAAAACCTTTGACCGATCCAGCAAAATGCAATAAAAAGAGGTGTTTTTTTTTTAAAAAAAACAAAATAAGGAGAGAGAAGCATGGGGTGTTAAGAGAATGTGGTTAAACCTAATTTAGAAATTGATATTTAATTATTTTAGTTAATTATTTAGAAACTATAAAAGGGTTTTTAATAACCGATCGGACGATTATTTGATAGATTAGTCAAAGATGTAGAGAGATAATGTTGTAATTTGTAAAAATAACAATTAAACAACCAAGAAAAAATGATTCAAAAGTAAAAAAAAACGTGAGAGAAGAAGTATGCAATGCTTAAAAGGCACAAATTGTTTAGGCGACGGGCAAGTAGTTAAGGTACGAATAGATAGAGATTTAAGTGTTGTCCGATATGTGAATGTGAGAGCTTTAAGATAGAGAGTTCAATTTGTTTTTTTTTTTTTTTTTTAAGATTAAGATTAAAAGTTTTAAAGTCTAAAGTTCTTTAATGCAAAAGTTTTGATTCTCTCGTAATGATATGAGGTTAGTATTTGTAATGAAAGAACATGATCCTTAACTCGTTAAGATCATGCCACATTATCCAAGTTTGAACGGTCAAATTTAGATTCTTTTGACTTAACTGTTTCAATTTGCTAGTAAAGATTAAAGGAAGCAAGACATTCTTTTAACAAATTCTGCTTTGAAACTACCGAGTCGATTTTCCTAATGCATTCCAAATATAAGATATGTACCCTAACTCGTCAGAATACTTGTGTCTATACTTATGACTCAATACCTTATGTTGAGTTAAGTTTATTTTTAATTCAATTTATTTATAGTGCAATTTAAACTCATATTAAAATAATAATAATAATAATAATAATAATATGAATTAATACAAAATAAAAATTAATGAAATTAACTACTTCAAATATTGAGCATATAATATTAATTTAATAATATATATGGCTTATTAAGATTTTTTTTTTTTTTTTTTCACATCTTTTTGGACCTGATCAGTCCTCCGGGTTATGGTTAACTTTTCTTAAATATAGAAAAATCATACGGTCCATTTCAGCCAATGGATTCAGTGCGGCATGAATCAAGGCCCACCAATTTGCAGTTATTACAGGAAGCCAAAAATAACGAACAAACAGCCAATGCAAGAAACGGTCAAAAAGACATCATTGGCCTTGCCATCTATTTATTAGCATGTGGATTCAAAGGCAATTCTAGCACTGGATTGTCCTTGTTTGGACAAAAACAAAAATAGGGAATGTCTTATGCCATCTAAATTTTGCCAGTTACGCTTTCACCCCTACCATTTAAAACATCTCATTTTTAGGCTTAGAGTTTTAACATTGTTCCAATCTCAACCCAACTGTCCTGATAGAAAATAGAAATTAGCCATTTGTTTTATCTATTTATTACATTTTCTCTTATTTCTAATTCTTTCATCAGAATTAGATTTTTTTTCAAAATATAAAAATAGAAAAAAAGTAGAAAATTATTGACGTGAGTTTAATAGAAATTAAGAAATTATGCTTGGGTGGAGATAATTAAAAAATGGGTATTTGGGCTTTACCATCTGTTTTGAAAAATGTGTACGTTTCTCTTTATGTAGTTTTTGCAAATTAGTTTAAGTTATTTGTTAATTTTAAATTAAAAAATAGTCATTTGTTTGGTCATAAATAATATGCTCCCATTTTACTGTCAAATATATTTTTAATGAAAATTTATATAGTTATTCTTTTTGTCAAATACACTTCTAATGGAATTTTTTTTCATTTTTTTTTATGAAAAATAATATTTGAATCGCATTTTAAAGTTAAAATAACTTTTTATCATTTAAGATGATGCTCTCTAAAAAAGTGAAGAGATTTTCTTACATTTCAATGGTGGAATTTAAGAGAAAATATTAAGATGAAATAGTTATTATACTAAATTGTGAGTATAGAAACAATCACTCTCCTCTCCTCTTGAGGAAAAAAAAAAAAATTCAAATAAAAAAAGTTCTCCGGTAGATTGGTTAGCAGCAGAAGTATATATGGGACGTTATTCTTTGAATTGGACATTTTTTTTTATCTTTTGAAATATTTTATTAAACAACTTGATGGGACATTTTAAATTACAGAGGTCAAATCAGAACTTTTAATAAATTAGGAGGAGTAAAATATTAGTTTAAAGTTTATAGTTTATACTTAGAAATACCAGGCAGAACAGGCCAGCTCTCCACGATCGGTGACCCCCGAAAAACAGCACATATATCATTGTTATCAGCATCGTCCTCGTTATCCATCATTTTTTGTTTCTCTTTATCCCTTTTTTTGTGATATAAAAAACTCAAAAGTTCCTTTCTTTGATTAAACAAAGAAGCTAATCAGGTCTTCTTTGCAAAACCCTTTTCTCCATTTGTTCTATTTCATTCAGCAAGAAAAAACATAATCAAGGAACACCAAAAAACAGACTTTTTTGTTGTTGTTTTGGTATTGATGGGCAAGCTACAAGAAAGATTTGGTGCGTTTATCAATAATAGATGGCTAGTTTTTGTGGCTGCAATGTGGATACAATCATGTGCAGGGATTGGTTATTTATTTGGCAGCATATCACCAGTTATAAAGAGCTCAATGAACTACAATCAAAAGCAGCTTGCAAGTTTAGGTGTGGCTAAAGATCTTGGCGATAGTGTTGGTTTCTTGGCTGGTAGCTTATCAGAAATCTTGCCTTTTTGGGGTGCTTTGTTAGTTGGTGCTTTGCAGAATCTTATTGGATATGGTTGGGTTTGGCTTGTGGTAACAGGCAGAGCTCCGGCTTTGCCACTATGGGCTGTGAGTTTCTATTGATCTTTTCAGTTTTCTTATGGTTTATTATCTGATTTGGATTTGATATTGATGATTCGGAGGTCCATTTAAGTCAAATTGCGAACTTTTTGATACTTTACTTTGTTAGAATTGGATCTCCCTCCTTCAGTTTCTTTAATTCCTGTTCTTGCACATGATTTGGACTCACATGGTGGTGTCGTAGTTGCAATTTTGGCACCGATTTTGACTTTATCTCTGTTGTTGTTGAAAATTTTATTCTCAGAGGAAGTGCAAGCCTTTGCTTTTCTCTTTTAATGCTTTTAACTGTTTAGGTATAATTACGCTATAAGTATATCAAGTTTTAATATTTTTTTAATTGAGTATATGAATTTTATTTTTTCTTTTTTTTTTAGTACACCGGCCTTTTTAAAATTGCAAATCAACATTTTCATCAAATTTCTATTAATTGTTTCAGGATCTGATGACAATTGATGGAAGTTAGACAACAAATACATGATTGGCAGTTTAAAAGACAGCATACTCAAACGAAAAACAAAAAAATAAAATTCATGTACTTAATTGAAAAAACATTAAAAGTTGATTTACTTATATAGCCACTATCCCTAATTACTTATGTTTCATATGTTGAAGTTGGCCTCAGAGAGATTTATGATATTTGATAAAATTCTACAGCATTTGATCCTTCCTCTCCCTTCCTTTTTGTTTTGTGTTTTTTCTTTTCCTAATGGGGCACGCAGGAGAGTGGTCTACCAAAATATAAATTTCTTGGATCCGCATATGACCTATAGTCCAGGAAACATGAGAGCAATACCAAAATATAAATTTCTGGAATTTGTTAAGCCGGAAGCGTCATTGCATTTGTTGGCAATTAGCTGTTGCCAAACCAATAGGCAAGCGGCGGTTCAATTTCTTGAATTCTATTTTATGAAATCAACTGCTTTCTTGGAAAACGTATACAAACGTGATCTCAATACCTTTTGGGAAAATGTCTTATAGAAATCCCAGATGTACTGTAGGATTTGAAGTTAAATCAGATTCTACATGTTTTAGACCAGCTTAATTGATCATACCATTAAAAAATTAAACCTGCTTCACAGGATGTGTGTTTTCGCCATTGTCATATCTCATCTCTTAGGAGAAGGATGGTATGGTGACAAGAATTGGCATAGAGAGCTGAGTTTACTGATGATCTAGGAGGCGTTATTCGACATAGAAATCTGAAACAAAATGAAATGTCATGAGTGTTTTAAATAACACTGAACTTAGTGATATTGTTTTGAGTGGATTCCCTCTCCTTCTAATAGGCTTCTGCTTATTGTTATGTGGTCTGCGATAGGAATCTAGTCATTGGAATCAGGCCGATAAATTCTTGGTTGCCATATTTACTTCTGCTATTCCTGTCTGCTAGAGTAACTTTTACCTAATGAAATTTTCATCTCCTCATGTGAATGCTTTTTTGGTCCAAAGATCTAATTAAACTTTGCAGTACCTTGCATGGATAAGTTGCTGACTTGTATAATTATGCAGATGTGCATTCTTATATTTATAGGGAACAATGGGGAAACCTACTTCAACACAGTTTCTCTGGTTTCTTGTGTGCAAAACTTTCCAAAAAGCCGTGGCCCGGTTGTGGGAATACTAAAAGGCTTTGCTGGATTAAGTGGTGCAATTTTGACCCAAATATATACAACGATCCATTCCCCTGATCACGCATCTCTCATTTTTATGGTTGCGGTTGGGCCAGCAATGGTAGTCATTGCCCTGATGTTCATTGTCAGACCCGTTGGAGGTCACAGACAAGTCAGGCCCTCTGATGGCACAAGTTCTACAATTGTATACAGTGTCTGCCTTCTACTGGCTGCATATTTGATGGGGGTTATGCTTGTTGAAGATCTAGTTGATTTGAACCACACTGTGGTTATAATTTTTACAGTAGTTTTGTTCGTCCTCCTTGTGATTCCTATTGTGATTCCTGTGACATTGAGTTTTTACCTTGATCCAAGAGATACAATAGAAGAGCCGTTTCTAGCTGAGACACCGAAACAGGAACCTGGCAAATCTGGGCAGGAGACCCCAGAGGTAATATTCAGTGAGGTTGAAGATGAAAAACCCAGGGAAGTAGACTTGCTTCCAGCATCAGAGAGGCAAAAACGGATTGCACAGCTGCAAGCGAAACTGTGCCAAGCAGCTGCAGAAGGAGCGGTGAGGGTCAAGAGGAGGAGAGGTCCACATAGAGGCGAGGATTTCACCTTGATGCAAGCATTGATCAAGGCAGACTTTTGGCTTATTTTTGTCTCTCTTTTGTTGGGATCTGGATCTGGACTGACAGTGATTGATAACCTTGGTCAGATGAGCCAGTCTCTAGGGTATGATAATACACACATTTTTGTGTCTATGATTAGCATTTGGAACTTCCTTGGCCGTGTTGGGGGCGGCTACTTCTCTGAGATTATTGTCAGGTAAAAACTGATTTCTTCTTCTCAATGCTGGATGGATTTTAATGCAAGTTCTGATCTTGACTTATTCTGCTCCCTTGTCTAACTAAATATCATCCAGGGACTATGCTTATCCAAGGCCAGTGGCAATGGCGCTTGCCCAACTTGTTATGGCAGTTGGCCATCTCTTCTTTGCGTTCGGATGGCCTGGGGCAATGCACATTGGTACTTTGATGACCGGACTTGGCTATGGGGCTCATTGGGCAATTGTGCCTGCTGCTGCTTCAGAGTTGTTTGGTTTGAAAAAGTTCGGGGCTTTGTACAATTTCCTTACTCTGGCAAATCCGGCAGGTTCGCTTATCTTTTCTGGTCTGATTGCAAGCAGCATATATGACCGTGAAGCAGAAAAGCAAGCTCACGGAAACAATCACCTCATTCAGAATTCAGGGTCAATTTTTTCAGGCATGGTTGGTCTCAATGAACCGCTGAAGTGTGAAGGTTCCATATGCTACTTCCTTACTTCTATGATCATGTCAGGATTTTGCATTGTTGCGGTTGTGTTAAGCATGATTCTTGTGCATCGGACAAAGATTGTCTATGCAAACCTCTACGGAAAATCACGGAGTTGACTTTCTCAAGAGAACTGAAGCAAGCATTTATAACTAGACTACTTTCAGTTTATGCTAGTCCTTGTGTATTTAGAGCAAGGTTTTGATTGATTTCTTCATATTTATGTATTCTCATTGCGAGAGAGCTGGCAGAATCAAGCACTCTACAGAAAAATCTCAACTGATTATTTACGGGACATTATTATTAGAATGTTGTAATTGCTGTATATTTTTATCAATCTGTTTGAACATTCAATCTGTGATACTTCGGCAATCAATGTCAGTTTTGTTCACCTAGTATTGGATGCATAGCATTTGCTGTTTTAAATAAAATAGGCCACAGGTTTTGTTCCCATCCAGTTTGAGGAATGGGAATACTGTGATCTTTTTACCGTATTCTTTTCTTCTTTTGTGATGTTTTTCTCTTTTGCCATGTTCATTAGCAACATGCTTTTTAATACTTTGGTGGTTAAACCAATTCAGTATTATATGATTACTACTAGGTAGCCAGACTTTAACTTATGCTGCTACATGGATGCTAAACTTTTATAACATCCAATGTTGTCTTAAGAATGATGTATCAACGTATTGTTTTGGAAAGGTGTATCCCAGATTATACAACATTCTAGTTGCTATCTTGATGCGGCTGCAAATGCACAAAGGAAAACCAGTAGATGACCTCGTATGTCCGGGCGAAAAGCTTTAATTTAAAGCAATTTTAGGTTCCCTTTGTTTTGCAAAAAATCTCAAGTGGAAAATATTTTACCACAAAATGAGTTATTTTCTACTTTTTAGGTATATTAGGAAAACATTTTCTAATAAAATAAAATATTTTTCATTGATGGTTTTTGAATGGAGATTCTAAGTTGAGAAAAGTTGTTGTGTTGGAGATAAAAGTGATGGTGGTGGTAAGTTATTATGTTGATGATAAAAGTGACGTTGGTGATAGTTCTAATGGGTATTGTAGTAATATTTATGGTAATGGTTGTGATTATAGGATAATGGTTGTTGTTGTAATGAGGAAGTGGCAATGATGATAAAATGATCATTATAATAATAGTTACTTTAATAACAAGATGGTGGTGATGTCAACTAGTGGTGGTGATTGTTTTTGTGGTAATAATTGTATTTTAGTAACGATGATGATAGTGAAAATGATGATAAAATTGTGGTTACATAGGTAAGTGAGTGGTGGCAATGAATGATGTTGGTGGTGGTGGTATTGGAAGGCTATGGTGGGATGACATGATAAAATGGTGGTTACGTTAGCAATAAGATGGTGATTGTAATACCATCATTGTGGTGGCTGGTAATAAAATGATGGTAGTTGTGATGGTTGTCATGGTAGTAGTAGTGGGGTTAAATTATAATATTGATGAATATTTTGAGTTGGTAGTAAGAGAAAAAATATTATTTTCTTCTTCGAATTTAAATAGTTTCCTTCAAATAGGCATGTTTCGAAGTAGATTGAAAAATATCTTTTATTAACTCATTTTTTTACTATTTTTTTTGCATGTAAAATGAGAGAAAACATTTTCCTTAAATTTATTTTTCACCAAATGAAAAGATAAAAAATTTAGTCTCCTAGATTTACTATATTTTAGATGCTTGGTCTTTTTACTTGTAGTATGATTGATTTTCAATTGTTTAGTTTTTATGTTCTTTTTAGTGATCGAGCTTGTATTGTATGAGTTAATAATTTTTATGCTTGAAGCACTACCTCTTCTTTAGTGCTTTATTAGTGAAAATTCACAAAATAAATACAATTATCCGAATCGAAAGATGCCATTTTGTTTAAAACATCAATTTTTTTTTCGTTGATCAAAATACAACTTATATGGTAAATGGATTTACTCTTCTCGCCCTCACGTTGAAAATGGTAAAGAATGAAAGATAAAATTAAATTTAGTAATTATGATATCTATTTTGTTAAGTCCGAGATATCAATTTATTCATATGCTATATTTAATTTATTTGACTAGAATGAATGTTCTCATTTGTTTTAAATTAATTAGTTATCCTATCATATCATCATATCATATCATATAGTAAAACGAAAGCAATTCTAATTGATAATCAATTTGTCTCGTTAATTTCAATTGTGGAGCGATATGTGTTGCAATCATAAGAATGGATTTTCAATTAAAGAGTGACATGTGTAGTGTTAACCTCGGATGTACAATTATATGTGTCATGTTGAAATAAAGTTTCAATGCAAGTAAGAGATGAGGTGAATTACAATAATCCGTATAAGATATCTTGAAATTACAAGAACCATCTAAAAGTTTGAAAATTTGATAAAAACTTCCTATTACATCCAAAACATCCTTAATTACCATTTAGAAAAATAAACAATTAAAGAGAAAACTGCATTTTAACTTTTTTTTTTTTTTTGGGGCCAAACTAGTAATTTTTTCTATTTTAATATTTAAGTTTTGATTTTTTTTTCTATTTTGTTGCTTGCGTCACCCGAAACAAATTTCTCGCTAGCTTGTCCAGCAACATCTCGCCACATATTTAGAAAAATTTAGGTCAATCGAAGCTTTATAACCCTTTATTTCATTAAGTTGAAATTCTTGATAGAATAGGTTCTAGAATTGACGATGATTTCGACACTCCTAAAACATACTTAATATATATTAATTTTATGATTGTTTTATAGGAGCTAAATCAATTCCTTAATAACTTACTATACAAAATTTTAGAGCGAAAAAAAAAAAAAAACAATCCCTAGCCTTGGTTATCAACTTTGAGATTGAATCTGTTTAGTCTTGGAATCCAGATTAACGCGTCATTTATCAAGCAAATACAAAAATAAAAGCAAGCTCCAATGCCTCACCCCCGAGAAGAATCTTCTAACTAAGATGATTTAGAGAGTAGTTACAAGATATGTTCGCCAAGATTCCACTCGGCATAATTATTAATCTAAGCCTATCTTAATTGATCACTCTAAGGATGTGTTTTACAATGTCTTAGCCAGTTCAAGCAAATAAAATACGCAATAAGTTTATAGAACTAATTTTTTCATTCAAATTTTTAACCAAAGTCTACTAAAAAAGAAGCACAAAGTGTGCTTTAAATATTCACACAAATACCTAAAGAATCGGTTTGGGTTAAATTTTTCTCTATTTGGTCAATTATGACTTTTTTCCTTTATAGAAATCTTTTCCTAAATAGAAATTTTTTTCCTAACTAGGCTTGGACTTATTCCTTCCATGTTCAATTAGGACTTAATTGATTCAGTCTAATTAAATATGAATCTACATATTACATGGACTCATAAATAAATAAGGATTCACAACACATAATGATTAATCACCAATCTAGGCCACATTTAACCATGTCCTAATTAAAGTAGAAAACCTAAAATCCTATAAGGACTAATTAATTAGCCCAAGTCTCGTACAATTAAAATAACCTAAATAAACAAAATTTAATTCAAATAAATAAAAGATATTAAAATAGATATAATAGAAGGCTGAAAATTTCAGCCACTTAAGAGAACCAAACTTGTGGCCAAATGAGAGGGAGATGCCCCTACATCATATATAATTAAGAATTATGAGTTATTAATTTGTGAAAATATTTTGAGGATTGATTTAATGGATTTGAGTATATGGTACTTTGATGTATTTTTGGGGATGGATTGTTTGTCAAAGTGTGGTGCTACAATTGATTGTCTTGGAAAAAAAGTGACTTTTCAACCACCTAATGAAAAACCATTTTAGGAAGATAGTAAAGTTAGTTTTAAATATTTCGGTAATGAAAGTAAGAAAGATGGTGAAAGGTTGTTGTATTGGATACTTGACTAATGTTGAAGATATTAGGAAAGAGCTTAAGGTGGAAGCCAAAGATATTGAAATAGGGAAGGAGTTTCTTGATATTTTTTCCAAATTTTATCGAGTTTTCCATCAAAGAGAGAAGTAGAGTTCGAGATAGAGCTCGAGCCTAAAACTACATCAATTTATAAGGCTTATTACACAATAACACCTATAAAATTAAAATAATTGAAGGTACAGTTGGAAGAGTTATTAGATAAAGGGTTTATCAGCCTTAGTTGTTAACCTTGGAGAGCCCTAGTGTTGTTTATGAAGAAGGAAAATGAGACATTGAGTTATATTGATTATAAGGTTTTGAAATGGGTTGCTATTAAGAATAAATATCCGCTTTCATACGTTGATGATTTGTTTGACCAATTAAAAAGGGTTTTAGTCTTCTCTAAGATTGATTTATAGTTAGGGTACTATCGAGTTGAGAATCAAAGAGGAGGATTTGAAGAAGACAACATTCAAGACCAAGTATGAACATTACGAGTTTTTGGTGATCCCGTTTAGTTTAACCAATGCTCCCATAATTTTTATGGACTTAATGAACGAGTGTTCCATGATTGCTTGGATAGATTTGTTATTGTTTTCATTGATAACATTTTGATATATTCTAAGGGTAAAGAAGCATATTTGAAGCATTTAGGATAGTTTTACAAACTATAAGAGAGCACAAACTATATGTAAAGTTTCAAAAGTGTGCTTTTTGGCTAGAACAAGTGTTTTTCCTTGGTCATGAGGTTATGAAAGATGGGATAAGAGTAGATTCAAGTAAGATTAAGGTGGTTCAGAATTAGAGAAATCTAGAAATGTGTCGAAGGTTTGGAGCTTTTTAAGAATGGCTAAGTATTATTAGAGGTTTGTATAGAGCTTTTCAAAGTTGACTACTCTATTGATGAAGCTAACTAAGAAAAGCTCTAAATTTTAGTGGGGAGATGAATACGAGGCGAGTTTTCAATAGTTGAAAAAAAGGTTGACCATTGCACTATTGTTGGCTTTCCGAACTAATGAGGTAAACTTTATGGTGTACATAAATGCTTCTAAGATCTTCTAAGATAAGGGGTGGTATTAATGCAAGAGGGAAAGGTTATAGCCTATGCCTAGAGACAATTGAATGTCTATGAGAGGAATTATCCCACGTAGGATTTAGAGTTAGCGAGTAGTGGAATTTGCACTAAAAAGGTAGAGAAACTATTT